GAATTAATAGCAAGTGCCCTTATTGCCATGGAAACCCGGCCAAAACAAATATTGGGAGGCTCTGATTCCCAGAATTCACACATGCCAATACAATTATCCCGCTTTACCCGCAGCCCCAGCCATCCCGGACAACACTGATATTCCTCCCCTGCTTTTCACCCTCAGCTGAGGTAATATTGAGTATTAATAATAGAACTGGGCTAAATTTGGAGCTGGAGGGGCACAGGGGGGGGAACCTGGGTGGGAACGGGGCGATTTCAGTTTGTTTTGTCCTGTTTCCATGCTCGTCCACGGATTTGTCTCGGATTGCCTGGATGTTGCCATAGTGACCTTTGATAAATCCATGTTATGGATGCTGTGAAATATAAAGCCCCATGACAGGGGAGGGGGAGTTCAGGGAATGGAGCAGGGGGCTGAGAGCTTCAAAGGCGTCAGATTGGGCTGATTTTGCCCTCCCATCTAATAAATGCTTTTCTCTTAATTTAAAAATATGTGTCTCCTACACTGGAAATTCATCCCACTTCGGGGAAGTTTATATGGGAAAATTCACGTTGGCTGAATTTGATCGGTCTCTTAGCATTTATATTTATTTAATATTGGTAAAAATCCACCTTTGCCTCACTGTTCCCGTTCTTTCCGAGTGTTTCCTCAATCGGGAAAGGAAATAACAGATTCGGATCATTCTTCATCTCCAAAGGCAAAGACTTTTCACTTGTTTACACGTGGTCACTTGAAAAGTCAAAGTTTAATCTGAGCTGGAGAGAAAGGAGTATTAGGAAAAGGTTCTTCACAAGAGGGTGGAGCAGGGAAGTGGTGGCAGCCCCAAACCTGCCAGATTTCAGGAAGTGCTTGGACAAGGCTCTCAGGGACATGGTTGGATTCTTGGGGTTGTCCTGTGCAGGGCCAGGAGTTGGACTTGATGATCCTGGTGAGTCCCTTCCAACTCAGGATATTCCATGAATTTGTGATTCCATGAACCATGAGCAGAAATAGGTGCTTTGAGGGGACTTACTCCACTCTGTGTCTTAAACACCCAGTCTAGGATAGGACTCAACATTAAAATGATAAATTTAAGGCAAGGGAACCCCCAAATTAAATGCACCTATAGCTACTGTTACCCCCAGCAATGAGCACCCCACTTTATCCCTAAAAACGAGGAGGATCCATCATTTCACAGCGTGTGGTAAAGGCAGGACCCAAAAGCAGCTCCGGAGAAACCTCCAGGCCTCTGTTGCAAAGACTTCAAACCCCATGTTCCTCCTTCCTGGTCACTGCAAAGTCACTGAAGCATCCGAAGAGCTTCTCATTCCACTCTGGAGGACGGTTTATCCCAGCAATCCTAAAGCACCATCCCAAAACCGGGGTGAATGCTCCGCGTGTCTCTGCAGCCGACAGCCAGAGCCCCGCTGATTAACGGGATTGAGGGCTGAGGGGGGAATTAATCCCCCTTAACCACGGCCAGTGCAAACATAAGCCCCTGCTTTAAGCCAGGTTTCCTGCTTTTGTCAGGGAAAGGTCACTGGGGAGGGCACGTCCTGCCATCTATTTTGGACAATTAGCTAATGATGAATCCCACAGAGGGGTCTGTGACAACAGAGGCAATTTTGGGGGATGATCTCCCCGCCAAAGACCAGCACTGGTGTCGTGTTCTCCTCAATAGTTATGTTATCTGGGAGGGCTCTCCAGCTTTGCTGGCCTCTGACTGGCACTGCTTTCTCATCCAGGGGGATTCAACCACAATTCCCAGTGTTGTGGGGTTTGTTTTAGGACTGCCAAAACTGAAGAATCACAGAATGATTTGGGACTTCAAAAGGTCATCGAGTCCAACCCCTCTGCCATGGACAGGGCCGTCTTTTGCTGGACCAGATTGCTCAATGACACATTCTGAACACTTCCAGCGATGGACCATCCACAATTTCTCTGGGAAAACTGTCCCAGTGCCTCAAACATCCTAAAATATTTCCCCTTCACACTCAATTTAAACCCACCCTCTCCCAGTTTATAACTTCTGACCCTTGTCCTGTCACTACAGGCCTTCATAAAAAGTCTCTTCACATCTTTCTTATGATTGACATGTAATTTCTTACATATTGAAATATGTAAATACATTCTTATATATTGAAATCTATATTCTTATAATTTCTTATCTATTGAAAGGTCATAATAGGGTCTTCCCAGAGCCTTTTCTTAACTATATCATAAACCCATATTAATGACACCATATACATATGTAGATATAGGTGTGACTGTAAAATGCTTTCAAAAATTGCCTCAGTTGTGGGACAATTTTAAGCAAATTTCTGGGAATAATCAGACATTCCATTAAGCTCAGAGAGAATCAACAAAACCAAGTGGAGAGCAGAGGTCACAGAATCTTAGAATCATGGAATGGTCCTATTAGGCTCATTCCTTACTGGGTGCCAGAAAATCAGCTAAAACAAGAGTCATCTTATGCACCTCAAATGCAAAACATCTTTACCTGTAACTTGTTTGTCCTTCATCATGAAGAACTTGGGCTGGTGAGGGACTTTAGACAAGGGTCTGGAGGGATAGAACACAGGGAATGGCTTCCCACTGCCAGAGGGCAGGGTTAGATGGGATATTGGGAAGGAATTGTTGTCTGAGGGTGGGGAGGCCCTGGCACAGGTTGCCCAGAGAAGCTGTGGCTGCCCAAATCCCTGGAAGTCTCCAAGACCAGGTTGGAGCACCCTGGGCTAGTGGAAGGTGTCCCTGCCAGAGGGCAGGGTTAGATGGGATATTGGGAAGGAATTGTTGTCTGAGGGTGGGGAGGCCCTGGCACAGATTGCCCAGAGAAGCTGTGGCTGCCCAAATCCCTGGAAGTCTCCAAGACCAGGTTGCAGCAACCTGGGCTAGTGGAAGGTGTCCCTGCCCATGGCAGGGGGTGGGACTGGATGGACTTTTAAGTTCCTTTCCAACCCAAACCATTCCGTGATTCTGCAGACAAGTTATGCCAGGCTGGGAAAGCAACAACA